ATATATAAAATAACTTACTATGATTCAGTACCGCAAATTCTAGCACAAAACAGACGCTAAAGAAAGAGAAATTAACTACAATAAAATGTAAAAGTAGTATCTGATGACAACGAAGGCTGCTGAACTGAATTCAGTGTGTCACTACTTACGGATGTTAAGGCATTCTTCAAGCCAACTATTTGTGCAGATGGAGATGAGGATGTGTCATGCTCCAGCATCTGCTTCAGCTTTTCTCTCTCTGTAGATATGGTGCTGAAAGCTGACCTCAAAATGAAGTAAACTAGAACGATTTCATAAAAAGTGACAGTTAAAACCAGCCACCAATTGTATACATACCAGTTCTGTAAAACTTCATTGAAATATCATTTGTGGTGACAGAAACAAGAATTTAGGCTGAGAGACCCAGAGTGGGTTACTAAAACCAAATAATATTAATCAAGGTTATAGGGTAGATTTTTAGTAGGAGAAGTGTTTATGGTGTTGACTGCCATATTGACTATATTAGCCACAGTCAAAATTACTCTGATTATTTGTGACAGATGGCAACAAAGCTAACTAACCACATCTGCTGTTCACTTGCTTTTGCTCCCCAATTAGCTTGAATCTTCAGATGTTCATGACTCTAATCTACATTCTTTTAAGAATTCCAGTGAGGGAGGAGAAGAGATGGAAGAAAAAATGAAATAAGGAAAAAAAAAAGGCACCTATAACATATACTGTGCCACAGCTACAGAGTTAGTAGTTTCTCCACAAGCCAGTCAGCTGTGGTGTTGAGTTTTGTTATCTCTTTTGGGGATAAAGAAATTTCAGCTCATTAGATGATTTGGTGACTCAAAGGGTCATATCCTGAATGTTGTGCACGTTACACTGGTCCTTCTACTTCCTGAGCCAGCATCACCAGCCTGAAATGTTTAAATTGGATCATGCAATTTTAAAATCACTAGATTTTTAAAAGAGAAATGCACTTTTTTTCCTTTAAAGATATTTAATCTTTTCTTTAACCACAAGGAATTAATAAAAATATTTCAGTAATATTTGTTTATGAAAGATCTGAACATTTATCTCACTGGAGAGTTAGAGGATTTCTAAGCACTTAATCAAGCCTTGTAATACAGTCATAAAAACTGCCAATGCAAAAATGTATCAAAGCTTTCACATGGAAATGGAGATATAAAATCTGAGCATGGATGCAGACAGGACAAAGAACAAGAAATCTCAGATACCTCTCTCTAATTACCCACTCTGAGTTAATCTGAATTATTATCAATTCACTGAGTATTTGATGTAACCTTGTTTGCTTCTCTAAGAAAACATACTTAAAGCTGTGAACCATTACCAGAGAATTCTCATACTTTAACCTGTTTGAAGAAATCTTTAGCAGTGCCACAGGGAGTGGGAAGGAAGATGTATGATCTATTTTGTTAGCCTTTCATATGTGGATGACATGACCTCAATATGCAGTGACCATAAGTGTAATTTAATAAGTTAGTATACTAACTTAAATTTTCAAGGATTACTACATACAAAAGTACAAATGTTGCCTTTTATTTACTTTGCACCAAAAGCTCAAGCACAAATTTTCTTCCCTGCCCTTTTTTGGAAGGAGTATGGTATAAAGCATCTTTGGAAAAAATGTCTTTGTACTTTTAATAAAACGACACCGAATGAAATAAAACCAAGTCAATTGTCCCCTCAAATGCATTGGTCAATCGAACCAAAATTTCTGACATGGACATTTCAGGTAACATGATCCTGAGTAGGTGATATCTTTGCTCTGCTTAACAGCTTTTCCAGCTGCACCACACCCCCACTTCTTTTCTCTTTTTGGAAAAGATACATTAGTTTTGACTATAATTGACTTCAAAAAGTTTACTACACTTAGACACATTCCTTACGTAATGGAATCAAGATATATCAGCACCAGAGGGGAAAAACAAGCAAAGAATGCTTATTGATAACATCAACAATTATCCTGGGCAAAAGAGGAAAAAGGCAATACTTCCAAAAGTCTTTCAGATATAAATGCCTAAGTGCCTTCCTCGCCAAGATCGGTTCAACAATAAAAATGTTTCTGGTGGGAGGGTGATAGAGCAAAGCACTGCTAATGAATAATGATTTTGAGACAAGAAACATCTCTAGCCAAGCTGCCCCTCGGGCTACTCTACATGATTTTACTCTTCTTTATCCAGTAAAAGTAGGTTACTACCATAGCAACCCTTGCATCACCAACAAATGTTGACTCTGGAATATAGTGAAGCACAACAAATATAATACAGACATAAGTGTGCCCATGTACATACATATACATGGAAACAAAAAAAGTATAATCTGCTGTTGTGTTTCTGGCAACTGATTTTATATTTTTTACCTTTTGGAAAAAAAAAATACAATCTAGGGGTTTAACACATAAAACAAAGGCCTGTTCTTTATTATCACTTTTTATTATAAAAAAGAAAAAGTGATAATTAAGCCACTCTTTTCAATTTACTCAGGACCTCAACATTCACAATTCTTCACGGGAATTAAAGGAAGGGAAGGCGTTTTCTGCTTTTTCTAAACATTAAGCAGGAAGCATTCTCAGAAGTCACACCACTATTTAAATTGTGATATAAAAACATATATCCAAGACAATTCCATTTACCTTTATGTGCAATGTGAAATAAGTCCTCTTGCATTTTAGTAAATTCTGATGGTGTTTCAGAACCATCGGAGTAATTTTTCTCCTCTACAAAATCTATTGTAGATAAGTTTGGATTGGAAGCATGCAGTCTCATAGGGGCAGAAAAAACTGAAGGTACCTGTAAGAAAGATTGCCATTTGTGATGTTTTTGCCAATTGTGAAGAAAATTTTGGTTTATTGTGCCCATCTGGATAACACACTGGAGACATCAAAATGGAAAAATTACTGTCAAGTACCAATAGCCTTGGAATGGATAACAACTCACAGGTGAAACCACAGCTATAACTTTGCCCAAGATATCATAACTGGAGATCTGGCAAAACTCGAAGAAGAGTGAGAGCTGTAGCATATACTATACTACCTTTCCCCATTTACAAGTATCTGGTCACACAGCCTCTGGATGCAAACATGTACAAAACTACTGGGAGAATTTGCTAACCAAATTCACATACTGATGATAAAAAAAAAAAAAAAAAAAAAAAAAAAAAACCACAACCCCCAAAATCATGGCCAGTCTCCTGGAAGTAACAGCACAGATCCTATTGCAGATATCAATGACAGTATTATTTGTGGTTTGTCTGTTACTACTTAAAATGAGCTAGCACAGGACACTACTTAGAAAGGATTCACATATCCTAAACTGGTCAGATCAAGAAGTGATCAGTAACTGAGACCTGGAGAAAGATGGGCACTGACTGAAAGGACTGAAGTTACCTGTAATGTTCCTTTAGACTCTTTCCCAACAACTCTGGATCGCCACCTCCTGTGTGTTCTCTTTTCCTTCTTTGGGCTTTCTAAAGGTCCAACCTTTTAACAACACACAGGACAAAAATAATACAGGCTGCCATAAGGCTAGCAGAGCTAAGAATATACACCTTGATCCTTTAGGATTTGGGGATGCTTTTTGGAATTGCAAGGGGAAATTTTTGGGATTTAAAAAAAACCACACACACACACCCCCAAAAAAAAACCAAAAAACAACCAAACAAACAAAAAAAAAAAACCACACACCCCAAAAAAAATACACAAACACACAAAAAACCACACCACCACAACAAACCTGCGTAGCATTTATAGCAGGTGCTGAATATGTCCTGTGAAGAACATCCATGCTCTGTAACAGCTGGTTCATTTCCAGTAAATATGTGTGACAGTTGGAGAGGTCTGTTTCGAACAAGAAAACATTTTCAGTTGCCCTAAAGTAAAAGACATGCTGAAAGTTTCTTTCTTTGTAGGCTGGTCTTATTTTGATTATAGCTAGCTTAAGTTATTCATTGACTACGAGCACATTATTAGATGACAGGATAAAAAGCTTGTATCCTTCTATCTTCATGTTCAAATGCAAAGTATTGTAATGCATCTGTATGTTGTGTATTATGATCATATTTTATCCTAGTTGGCTGTAGAAAAAGGAGAACAACGTGATAATTACTGCAGCCTGTGACTAGTCAGAGCTCCTCATGATGAGGGTAACAATGCCATAGGCCTCAAGACTGAATTGTACATTCAGAGCTAGACATGAGGCTTGTTTATATTAAAGCTGAAGCTCACTGGTAGGTAGAACTTTACCAAAGAAGTATCACAGAGACACTACCAACATGAAAAATATCTTCATGCCCTTAGGAAAGGATGAAAGCAGAAGGGGACTTTGAAGTACAAAAATACAATGCTTGCTAAACAACTAGATTTTGGATGCTTCCTTTTTTTTTTGAATACCCAGCATAAGAAAGTTCAAATCTTACTACTGAAGGTGCTGTTTGTATATAAATGTACCAAAATAGACAGGTTCTTTGAGGAGTGCCCACAATTGATACCACCACATCCAAAAATCACTAGTCCTTTTAAAAACAAGTGAATAGCCAGTTAATCAACAGCCACCCCTTTCCTCACTCGAGTTTCAGAGAAAACTAACTAATGACTGCTTGTGGTGTAGTACTCTGTCAAGGAAAGCCAGGGGAAATACTAGGCTACTTCCAAATTCCTTCCAGTAACATTACCTCTTGAGCATTTCTCCATGTCTTCAGAAGACTGTAGCCAAGATGAAATCCTGGACTCATTACTCGAAAAGGAAAACGACAAGTTACCTCCAGGTGACGATGAATTCTGTTTGGTCAAGCTGCCTGCCTGTTCCAAAGAAGAAGTAGTGAGTTATTAACAAACAATATTTTACTGTTGTATGCACAAATTCTGACAACCAACTATTGAGGTCCATAATCAACAACAAGGACTGAAGGCATCAACAATACAGAGGGGAAAAAAAGTGTAAGAACTAAACTAGGAGTACAGTCAATGGTCTTGTCAGGATCTTGAACACGACTGCTATGCACAAATAGTGGAAATACTAAAGGAACAATAAAAAAATTGCTGAAAATGAGATTTTGAGGAAGGGCAAAATTCTGCATAAATTGATTTGATATAATTAAAGCACCATATTAGAACAGGACCCAAGTTGGACATTGTGTTCTTTCTCCCTGCTTCCCAAAGGAACTCCAAAAGTAACTTAAATGTAACATGCATGTATTTATTAAAGCTATTTTTCAGTGAAGAAAGCAATATCTACTAGATAGTATTTAAACATTTTACTCAAAATTGTATCACTTTAGCATGGATTTAGCTTGACAGACCTTAATACATGTGTGACCATACACCTCATCTGGGTAAATACTACCCTTTTTCAATGTCTCAGTAACCACTTTCAAACTGAACTAATTTTCAGCAGCATCCACTATCAGATGCTTTAGCAGATGCTGGAAATTGTGTAAGAGCTAATTGACAAGTACAATTAAGTATTTTCAAATGAACAAAATTTCTACCCAATACTATTACCAGTTTATTATGGACGATAAAGCTGATTTCTTCCCTAACGTAACTACAAATAATAGCCATTCAAACATCAATTATTTTTAGAGCTTACTAAACCTTTTATCTTTAAGAATATCTATGTCAGGGACTTGCATAAGTTACATGCTTTGTCCACATCTTGTTTAAAATGCACTTTAAAATGTTTCTTAAGTGCCATTACAAGACCAGGGTGATGGTGACAGAGCACTGTACTAGGCTGCCCAGAGAGGTTGTGGACTCTCCTTATCTGGAGACTTTCAAAACCTACTTGGACATGTTCCTGTGCAACCTGCTTTTGCTTTGGACTAGATGATCTGCAGAGGTCCCTTCCAGCTCCTACCATTCTGTGGCCACTTCACTAATTACAAGAAAAACTGACTAAATTGTTTGTCTCTTCTCTGAAGCATATACTTTAGAAACTTTGTTACCTTCTGCTCACCTTATATCAAAATTCAGGTAGCATTATTTTAAATCTAGTCATAAGAAGCATCATCTACATCTCAGTTGCAGTTTTCTTAGCTGGTCTTTTTAAATTTACAATATAATCTCCAACTTGAGTTGCAGAATAAAATGCACTATCCGTGTGAAGTCATTCAGTATTGTATGAATTTATATAGTCAGTATGCAATAGTAATAAACATCAATAAGCCCACTTATTTATAATCTATGTAGTTTAGCTGTTTTATTCCAACATAAAGCTGTATGAGCTTCGGTTATATATGAATACTCAAATAATAATCCCAGCACCTTTAGAAGTACAAGTAAACTGAATTTAAAGATGACCGATTGTATTGGCATTTTGTGAGCAAATCCCACATTCATCTCTTCAGGAATCTATCCCATATAGCTTCTCCATAACTCATAGACATGAGCAGAGGGAAAGAAGGAAGTAGGCATTTGCCAAGAGATATGCAAGAGAGTTTGTGTAGCTCTAGTTAGCACAGTTTTACTTTTGACCAGGGTGGCTAAACTTTAGAATCCAAGCATTCCACATACGCCTACCTCCCAACAAAAAAAGAGGTGTGAAAACTGACCAGGTCTTTCCAAAAGCAAGTAATATGCAAAGCAAATTTCACTCAATACATTTTTCTCAAAATAACCTAACATTTGGAGTGATATTGACCAGCATGAAGATAGAGCTGGTATAAATTGGCAAACTTCCATTTAGCTTCAGCAGAGTTAAGGTGATTAACTGCAGCTTAACCACTATCCCCTTCTATTTTTCACATGAAAATAAGTAGGGCTTCTTTGCAGTGCAAATCTGGATTAATAAATTAGAAGTGAATTAAAGTCTTTCATGGAAAAGAAGAAATGGTTAGTTTTCTGACAGAGAGCATAGATTTTAGGTATGCTGGCTGGTCACATGGTTTTGAATTTTTTGGTTTTTATTTTCCTTTTTGAGAGCACAGCCGTAGATCTATCACAGGCTTTGCAATGCTCTACTTTTACTCTTGATCTGCTTCTCCCTTTCTATCCCTGCCGTCTTCTGGGAGTAAAGAACTAAATGGCCGCGGGAAGTTTGTCGTTTCCATACAGACGCAGCCTGGAAGAGCAGACTGCTGCAGCCACAGAGGTGGGGGCACCACAGGAAGCCTGCTGAAGGCACAGAGGTTGTATTCAGGCACAGAACCGCCGACTGGACCCATCCAGACCCCACGCACCCCTTCAGCATGGTCCTTGGATTGGTTTGAATAATGCTTCTACCTCAGTCAAAAATATACAAGAGCCATCATGTGTGGTCACTATTTATAATTCCTATATACTCCTCAGGTAAGTGCAGTCAGATTCATTAATGTAAAAGGGGAGAGGTTCTATTAGTTTAAAGATAAATGAAAAAATGCTAAAGGGAAAAAATCTAGCAGAGTGCTCTTTCGGCTAATATACACCAGCATATATCAGACAAATACTGATGTATGTCCTAAAAATTATGAGAATTCTAACTCAATATGCAGTTTTAAAAGTCATCATGAAAATGTAATTTGCTTCATTAAAACAACAAGAAAATATTATAAAATTTAACAGCAGAGAGAAAACTGCTTGGGAGTAAATCAATACATAATATCATTTTCCTCTTGACATTTTAGATCATAACTTAAATCCCACCACAAACTTCCATTATGTTCTTTACTTAATAAACACAAATCAGACTACTTGAATCCCTGACGAAAGCTCATTATTTATAAATCATAACTATTACCTTTCTACCCGAGGCAGAATCACAGAAAGCAGGGACAGAGTCAGCAGTGGATGACACAGGGAAGAAAAGGTTATTGACATCATGGGGAAACATGGAGATTTCGTTCTGACGGTACATTCTGTGGTGACGAAGTTTTGCTACCCATTCATCAAACAGCTCCTGAGACTTCACCTACACAAAATATCAGATTTTTATAACATTCACGTTCAAAATCAGTAGCAAAGAAACTAAGGTATTTTGTGCTCATTAGGAAGCTAGCCTGGCTGACCTTTGTTGGCAAAATACCAACAAATTTTCTTATGATGCCCCTACTAAAATGCATACTGCATGAGCTTAAGCACAACAGAAAATTAATCACGGGATCAAGACAAGCAAAAGAGAAACTTCAGTTGGCATAGATATGAATTCCAATGCAAAACAATACTTAGCAACTTCTAGATGAGGGAAAAAAAAGTCCAATATAAATTAAAAAAAGAAAATTTGCCATTTCTTAATTGCCATTTTTAAGGTTTAGTCAAGGTTTAACTAATCACAAATAGAAATTTTATTTTGGTAACATTTTAAAACGATTTATTCCCCAAGGATAGAGAAAAATACACATTTGACTGTGGAAAATGCTTCTAATAAATAAGTCAAAGAGCAAGTCAACTACTGAAAATAAAAGCACTTGTACAACAAGTGCATACCCTTTGCTGAAAGAAGTGCTGAGTGAAAAGGATGCTGCTAAACATGAAGCATCTTCCAATCTTCTGTTCAGAAGAGGGTTATTGACTCTGGAACAGTACAATGAGGCCTCTCCAGTTATAAAATACTTTCTAGTCTCTGGAGACTAGTTTGCAAGTTACTAGTGTAACTAACACACCTCCTACTAACCAAAAAAAAAAAAAAAAAAAAAAAAAGGTAAAACCTTACATAACTAATGTAAGGTTTTGGGTTTTTGGGGGGAGCAAGGTTATAGTGATCTTGAAAACCTACCTTCAGATGGTATATCTGCTCTTCTGTATCCAAATCTATACACTTTGTTGATTTCTTTACAGACATGACAGAAAGTCCAACATCAATACAGCCGTGAAGCTTCCCTCTCTCTATCTGTAAAAGAGTAAAAAGAATACTATCACTCCAGGTGAACGATAGCTATTACCTGCTGAAACCATAATTTTACTCCCTTCAACCTACTGTTTGGAACGGCTGAAACTATTCCCCAATGCAAACAATAGTGAATCATTGTTATTTTGGATAAAATAGTGTTGTTACCCTATAATGGCCTTAACGAGTTTCAGATCACTTACGTCGGCTTGGCATTTAGAGTACTTCAAAATCCCTCTATCCAAAAAGAAGTATCTCTGTAATGGGAAATGCAGAGAATTAAAATCAAACAACCAAACTAAATGAACACCACCAAAAAAACACCTGAACACAAACCCCCAAACGTCTCTCTTCCTAAAACCGCATTTCTTTGCGGAACACTTTCTCTGCTCTGAAATAATCTTTCTGTCACAAAACCTCACCAAGCAAGTCTCACTGACATGGCATCAGGCTTTCAGATACACATTCCATTCCTACCTTATGCCAGCCCTTCAGAGGCCATTTCCTTTTTTTCAGCAAGCAGCCCTCCTGCTTCTGTGGCTCCTGGGTACAATTCATTGCTCCCCGGAGTCCTTCCACAATTTCCCAGCTGTCCTGCTTAAACAGAAAATCCAAATGTAGATCTTATTTCTTCCAAAGAACAGAATTGTTAAGAGAGATTCAAGAGGAAAAAAATCAACAAATTTAAAAAAAAAAGACAACCAAATTATACTGAAAGCTAAATTCAGATCTGTCTTTTTATTTTTTTATGTATCTTCCAAGAGACAAGATGCCTTTTTATTTTCATAGAAACAATGCAAATTAAAGAAAAAACTATTTTTATGATACCTTGCTTCACTGAACATGTGCTTACCAGAATTTTATGTATATTTTTCTGTACATGCATACACAGTGTATAACCACCATAGCCTAGTCACAATTTAGCATCAAAAAAAATCTTCTGTCATTCCAGACAGAAGCAGTCTATGCTAAAAAGATTACGTTTTGTAGGGTATGAAGCAGAAATAAAAGGCACCGAAAATTACAACCTTTTCTATAAAATTCTTTCACCCATATTTATTAATCCAGGGGGTTGTGTTTGGTGTGAATTGCAGTCTCCCTAAAGTAAAAACAATAACATTAAATGACAATAAATGAAAAAGCCAGGAAGTCACTTAAGCACCATAAGGAAGATGACATAAAAGGAGAGTACAAGTAAAAACCACCTTTTATCAGATACACCCCTAATTAAAAGAAGTTCTCTTTTTTTTTTTTTGCCATCAGGAACTCCTAAAGGAAAGACCCCGGAGCAACATAACAAAGAAGAGAATAAATCCCATAGTATCTTTACAGTTCTTATGGAATGACTGCAAATGAGAAAGTAACACAAGTTTCAAGACTTATGATCAGAGGGTTCATGAATTATTTATTGCAAGCAACCAGAGGATTTGACAGATTAGAGTTATGAAGGACTGACAGGAAATGACAAGTGCTGGTACCATCCCCATGTAATTGAAGAAGAATACTTTAACATATAGAATTTATTAGAATGACAAAAAGGGACCAGTATGAAACACTTTGAGGAAGAGAACTATATCAAATAGGTAAGTACTCGTGGTCCTCCCTGTAAGACACATGTAGGGAAGTATTCCTAAAAAGCACTTGACTGACTCAAAACTTAAAAACAAAAATGAAAGAAAAATCAGCAATTGATAGTTGTGCTCATTTATCCATCTCCACAATCCTTAAAACTCACTCCTAGAAACCCAGGGGAAAAAAAAAAAAAAGTTACTTCAGTTAATATGGTCATTATTGAGTACGAGGCACAACAGCAGAATATCTTAGGAAAGACATTCATTAAAGAGCTTAAGCAATGTGACCTCTTACTCCACCACACCACTGACAGCACTCCACCTTTTCATGGTTATTTGTCTTGTGCTGCACTTTATGGAAGAAACTGGAAAGCTGCTCTCCTTCCCTGGCTTGAGTTCACTCTGCCAGCACTCACAACACCACAGGCTGCAGCCAGTAGAAATGAGGCTGAGCAGCCCCCATCATTCAACATGCTACAGACCACACAGTGATGTTCTGCTACCCAAAGGTAAGCCAAAACTTCAGTTGTCCTAGCCAAAATTGTTACCGTGGCACACATTTTGTGCCCCTGCAGGTGTGAACTTTGTCCTTGTCATTTTTGTATTAAATAGCTTATCTACTCCCTCCAATTTGAGGGGTATTTTAACCACCACCTAGATAACTTTATTTCTAACCAACAATCATGAAATCAAATTTTTGCTATTGAAAACCAGAAGTTACACATTCCATATTCTTTATTTTTACTACTTTGAGAATCACTTAAAGTTCTCAATAATCATGAACCCTTTCTAGCTTGGGAATAAATTACTATGATACCAGATCAGGGAACAGAGAAGTTACTCATGGATGTCATGAGTTAGTGGGCTGAAGGAAGAGTGGCAGGTCTCCTGGGCTGTCTTCAGCCTAACACCAGCCAGAGCAGCACACACTCTGCTGCTGGAGACTCATGGCACTGGTCCTTCACAGGGTGAGCTGGCAGAGGATGAAGCAGAGAGGCAGCCTGTGCCCCTACAAGGGCAGTTAGCTAGAGCTCCCTAGCTACAGTCTGACAGCTATTCAAGTGCAAAGGCAGCTCTGAGCCTCCACAATTAAGGGCCTTTTCCTTGCCCTACTTTTTTTTTGGACAGAACATTCCAGTCTACAACTTTGACTTTTGAGCCATAAAGAAATTATGTTCCACCAGCTCTTTTGCCATAATTGTAAATATTAGGCCACTAAACGCTTTCTGTAGTGCTCTTGGAATTTTTTCCTATTAAAGCATATTTATTAACCCTTATACAATCACAAGGATTGGGACTATTATGATGACAGAGAACAGTCTCTTTAATTATAATCAAATATAGTGTAATGCTACAATTTACAAGTAACAGCTGAACTTACTGCTGCTTAAACATCCATGTGTGGATAAAACCTCATCTCCTCAGAAAATATCTACCAAATGAACCAATATAAAAAAGTAATCTTGACATTAGCTGATTTCAGACTGGGGACTTGGACAAACGTAAACATTTTAAAAAGCGAGAATCTTGACAGAACTAGTGAGAGATGATTTTACTTAAGGAGCATCTGTGAGATTAAGAAAAATGTTGTGATTATACATTTTATTCTTTCTTTTCAAAATTAGTCAGGAAAGATTAAAAGATATTTTGTCCGATTACGAAGCAAGATATTTCCCTTACCTTTGCTGAAATATATTAAACTGCAGTACCTAAACACAACATTTTCCACTGAGAATTAATCTGACAGCAGTCAGGACTAGTAAACAGTAGGTATTCTTCAGTATTCAAGAATTACACCTAATGAACAAACTTTATTGAATTCTGGCTCAAGTTCTCACAGACTTTATTTAAGCTTACACACAGTATACGGTTGATAAAGTGGTCTGGTTGCAGGAGAGAAGCAGAACTTTGAGCACTGTCAAGAAATACACAAGAATTCAGATTCATCGTTCTGTAAGGTTAAGCTTAGAAAGAGAGGGACGCCTGAACCTCAGTTCAGTAGACAGACCCATGCTACATTGGGCATGTGAGGTGAAGAGAAAGGAAGAAGCTGAAAAAGAACTCCACCAGTTCCACCCACCTAGAACATACACAGTGTCAATAGCTTCAGTCAAACTTTTAAATGCAGAGCACATCCTGGCCTGCCTCACAACTCCAGTTTTGTCTGTGCCTCTCCTGCAGTCCACAAACAAGGCATCTCCCATGTTCCTGAAGAAGAGCCACATTTCTCAGTTTTTCAGGTCAGTGAGGTGGCCAAAAATGTGCCCTCACAATTAAAAAGTTTAAAACTGGGAAGAACAGCTGAATCCCATCAAGTCGGCCCAATGGCCTGCTCAGTCTCAAGTGGTGAAGGCAAGTTTCCTAACCACATTTCTGCCCTGGGAACCTCACACTTCAGCTGCAAACTTTACATAGAGGTAGCTTAACTGAATTTTGAAACTGATCCTTTTAGAAGCACAAGACTACCTATTTGACTAAGTTACACAAGGAGAGGCAAGGGATAGCTCAGAGAATTATTTTTTTGGGGACCTGCTGGATACATGCAAGGTGCAAGGCTGCAGTAACAGCATCAAGTCCTCTTCCACATACACCTGTCCAGAAGAGTCCAAACTTTCCCAGCTGAACCATGAACCTCCCACATTTTTCAAAACACTGCTGCTGTGACTGCTTTTAGATCCGTTTGCTCTTTTTTTGCTTTTTCTTTTTTCTTGTCAGTTTGATCTGACACCTCATTTGATGAGGAAAAAGCGTCAGTTGGCTATTGCTGGGAGCAGCTGCAGAAGTGAAAGAAAACTGCTTACTCTAAAAATGAAGGCAAACGAATCAGGTTGGTCAGTTATCAACTGTTCTGTTCATCTGTCTGAAATAGCAGAGGAGCAAATTGGATGTACAGGATTTCCTGAAAGCTACAGGAAGCATTCAGATTATGGTCCATTTCGCTGATTCTTATCCCACAACAGGAAACAGAAAGAGATACCCCAAACTCCAGTGCTAAATTAAAAAAAAAAACAACCACCACCACAAAACCCCACCCAAATAACCACCAAAGCTCCCAGCTGAATGACATTAACAGTTCTAGTATAAGCCTGATATCCAGATTAATAGTGTCTTGCGGTTATGACACTATAAAAGATTGTGTCATTATAGGGCAATATCTGCACAAAACGATCAACACTGTTTGCTGCCCAGGCAGAAATTTCACTCAAGGCTGAGGGAGGGACATACACTTTATTCTTCTCAGGTCCAGAGGTGCTCATTTCAGATCAGTGCTGGAAATTCACCCTGTAGCTGCTACTTGGCTCACACCTGCTCAGTGGCTGCAAAGAAAAGGCATTTCTTTGGTTTTCAGAGATAAGTATGTCATTAGGTTGACTGTAGTAATTTTCTTTAATATAAGCCTCTATTTCCTGCAATATTCTGCACCATACAGCTCCTCAAGGTGAATTATTTCAGGAAAAAGAATGAGGTAATGAGTTTGAACATCTCTCAGACCGATGCTTGCACTTGCAGTTCCCTGAATGAAACAGATGACAGTGTCAGACTTTCTCTCAGTGTAAAATGCAGTCAATTGTACCAAATACTTTAAAGTGCCAAAAATAGAAACCCGCTTTGTGAAGGATAAGGGTTGGCATCAGCTGCAACTAAAGCATTTGTTACAGTTCATAAAATTGGCAGAAATGATTTAATTTTCTTTTTTAGAGCGTGAGGTTTTAAGCAGCTCTTCTGACATGAAGCTTTTCCCTGCTGAATCTATGTTAAAAGTTAGTTAATATATTTAAACTGAAAAGTAACTACCACAATATATCTTCTTTTGATCACAGGTCAATTTAAATTTAAAGATGATCAACACCACCTTTCCTTCCTCACCAAACACAATTTGAGCTGTGACTTTGTGGAAGAGGAAGGCAAAGGGAAACAGGTGGGATCTGGCAGTAACCTCCAACCTGCTATTGGGCTTCAAGGCGAAGGTGAACTTAGTGGAACAGGAATAACTGTTCACATCTTCAGTTCACACTGCAAATGTGTTGCATCTGGCAGAAAAAGGTCACCATGTTCAGCAAAGGCAGAAGTAGGCCTCTCCAAGTCCTGCAGCTTTGCTTTAGTCAACTCTTCTTTGGCACAGTGGTCCATCTTCTGCAGCACATGACTACTTATGCTCTGCACTGCTAACACATGTTGCTGTGTGGGCAGCAATGGCCAAATTTTAGCAGGCACAGCAGCCTGGTACTAGGAGGGTTCCATATGCCAGTCTCAGGTAGCTGCTTCTTTTTTGCTGCTAGTGTGTACCTGCAAGAGTGCCTGTGCCTAGGAAACCAGACAGGCTCAAAACTCTGATCCCACTGTTTTGGGGGGGAAATACTACTTAATCAGATTAAAAGAACTGCTGTGTCAGATCAGCAGCACAGAGAAAAGCACCTGTCAAGCAGTTCTGTTGCTAACCTGCAAGCAACAAACCTAGCTCTGAAGGTCCCTGAGAGAGGAGCAAGTGTTTGAAGGAGGAATAAGAAGCCCTCCATGGAGCTAGAAGACAAAGGAAATATGAAAATCATAACACTTCACTCCTGAATCTGCAAAGCATATGGCAAAATAATTTTTTTATTAATAGTGTCATGAAAGTTTAAAAGTATCAGTAACAGTGTTACACTGTACTCTTCTACCAGGGCTTGGGCAGGGAGGGGGGGGAAATTACAGACAAAATCTGTGGTACTTTTCAGATGAGGGGATTTTTAACAGACTTACAGAACTTCAGATTGTTGCTCTTTTCTTAACAGAACGCCTAAAGTGATGCCATTTAAATTAACATGCAGATGAAAAAGGCAAATTAACTCTCATATGGTGGCATTGCTCATCTCCAGTCTTTGAGCCCTGAGTAGGTGGCTATTAGTAAGGACAGGCTCCAAAGCTCCAGTTTACCAGTACAAGAGCGAGTGAGAAAAGAAGCAACTCATGATATACACAAAACTGCTTGATCAAGAAATCCTTTGTAGGAAGGCAGGAGCAAAGGGACAGGATGCAAGAAAGATCTCCCAACATTCTCACTCCCCAAACCAACAATTTTGATCTTATAATACATACCATACTATATGATTTACACCACTAAAGAGAAGGTCTATCTAGCAAGATAAAAATCTTTATAATCTGCAAGACCAGAGCCTTTTGGGGAACAGGAAGAGGAGAGCTGTTCCTCATCCAAAGTACTGCTGTGTCCAGACCAGCAACTCATGCAGAGTACTGCGTCTGTTAGACCTAAAAGTCCATCTTCTCACATGCAGTGCAGAAGAGTATATCTAACAAAACATGCACTGAAACTTGCTATCATCACAAACTATAATTAACAAGTAGAATTTAAAAAGGGAAAATTACCCACAGATGTTATTTTTAGGTAAATACCCAGAGTTCATGTTTAAGTCTTTGTTTTCCCCAGCAAAACTGTTTGTTCTATAAACAGCAACACAGTTTCAATGTGAAAAAAACAGTTATGTGAAAACCACCAAAAACATCAGGGAATTAAGGAAGGAACAGCAATACACAGCCCTGCATACAACCACTGATATTGCTAAAGAAACCCTAATTTAGAATTAATTTTTTTTTTCTTTCTGAATTTCACTATTTTAAAGGAAGACCTCTAGAGCACTTCAGCAGATGCAAACAAAGCTAAGAAGCCACTGCATTTGGTAAAGAAGGGATTGGAGAAAGCAGTTAAGTATTTCTTACAAATCTTAGAAATCCATATTTAAAAATATCGGAAAGACCAGTGGAAGCTTAAAAAGCACATTTAATTATAGAAAAACATGTTTGTAAATTGTCAAACTACACAGAAAAAGCAAGCAAGCAGAGCTTTTAGCCCTGCTCAGTGATCATATCCCAGCATATAACAAGGCACACAAACTCAACTTCCATGGGCTTGCCTCTATCATTACCACTCCCTAAAAATGTGGACAATCAGTCAAACCCATGTAGGTTCCCAAGTGCAAAAGTACACTGTTACTTACTTGATTTTGCAATGACTGACCATGAAAAGATTAGTACTGAAACACTGATCAAAATGGAGATAATTATCATAGTGACCCATACAAAGAAATATCAAAATATCAACTCTATCACCCTTCAAGATATGTTGGGAAGCAGCATATTTTATGCCTTCATTTATCTTGACCTGATAAGTGTATGAGGCAATTTACCACCTCCACAAATATAGTGACAAACAAAACACCGTGGTGCATCTCTCACCTTGGTCAGGTGCACCTTGCATTTTTTGTACAGGGATCAATGACTAAAAAACTGGGGATTGACAAGATGATGTTAAATCTTAATGAATTACTCCTTTTCTCCAAAGAAAGCAGGTGAGAACAAAATGGCTAAGAAAAGGGGTCTAATAATAATAATATCAAAAGCCTGAGCTAGCCAAAAGATTTGATCACATTAAATAGCAGTGTAAACAAGGCTCTTGCAGAAACTGCTTCTGCCTAAGTATGGTTGCTTATACTGGCTGTGTAACACACCAATGGATTTAGTCATGCTCATGTAAAAATTATTATTTAAGCACTGCATGATACCACTTGATAGACATGAACTCTTGAAACAGGCAATACCTAATGTTTTAAACCACACTTTTCAAAGGTAATCTCATACTGAAGATATAAAAAAAAAAAAGTCTCAGGAAAACAAAAAAGGTGTCCTGGAGGCAAGGATTTCTTTGCTCAGTATACTGGAAATACACAGCATTTCTTACAAGCACGGCACTTTAAAACACAAATGGTTCAGAGATTCATCTGTCTCGCCAGTTGTATCTACGGGGCCAGAAATACCATAAAGCAGGTGCTATTTCAAAACACAGCTGAGGTCTCCAAAGCCTTTGGGGGATTGAGATGCTCAACTCCAATTAAAATTTCAACCTGAGGCAGCTTCAAGAGCTCTACTAAGCCAGAATTCGTAGAAATAAAAGTTTATGTTGAACATACTGCTCATGATGTTGCCAGCATGGATTGAGCATATTTAAGCTTAACTGTCAGTGTGGCTATAGGTTAATGTTTCTTGTCCACAAACAAAAGCTGTCTTCATCAGTCTCACTTGTCTACGAGTCTTTGCACCTGACAAGTCTAAAACCATAAGGTTTAAAGAACAGCATCACCTCTGCAGAAAACAAAGCATCTTCTGCATTAGGCATCCAGATGCATCATGTTACACAAATACTTATTTTTCTAACTACAGTTCTACAGCAACCACCAGCACACACGGGCATTCACAAGCATGTTTTCATTGTCATAGAGGCTCTGTGTCAGGTTTCAGAAAAATGCACTGTCTTTCACACATGCACACACACCTCTTCCTGGAAACTTGTAATAAGCAGAGCAGTTACACAATATTCTAGCAGAGAAGTGGTACCTTACAGGGAGAGGTTTCAGTATCAAAACACTAAGAGCAAGCTGCTACAGCAGCAGTATTTCACTACATACAATACATACAACATGATAGAAATTCCAATTCACTCTTAGCATTCCAATTTTACAAGAACTTGCTATTAGGTAATGTGTGTTTACTGCATTTGACTCAAACCAAGATGCTGTTACCAACAACAACAAAAAAAAGAGCATAAGGAAAACAAAGAATTGATGAAATAAAAAAAGCAAGCAGCAGGAAAACAGTTTAAGAGATTCATTGCTACTCCAGAGTAAAAGTAACAGCCAATCTTAGTAATGTTTTCAGTTGGCATTACCTGTCGGCTTCCCTGCTTGGAGGAGCAGCTGCTAGTACTTCTTGAAGGAGACAACATTTTCTGGGATACACCAAAGCTTTTTTCTTCACTCATGATCCAATACCATTTGTTTCACATAAGTTCAATTATAATGCCATTAAAAAGTAATGTAGAAAATGTGTTGGAAGACTCCCGAAAGAAGCGCAGAACCCATTTTTTACCCAAATGCAGTCCAGAGGCATGATCTGCATCCTACGGAAATTCCTAAAAGGGAAATGAAAAACAAAAAGCCAAGTTATCACATGATGTCTCTTACCAACATCCTGTAACATGCATCATAATAAAACCTTTGGTAACACAAGCTGACTGCATAACTGTACATTATTAGAAATCAATTCAACAATCACTTTAAGATCATTTTTCAAGTCTCAAACAGGAATATGAATTTTAAACACATGCTTTAATTGTCACTACTTATTCAGAGGAGAAAGTACAGCATCAAGTTACTTTTTAAAGATTCAAATTCATCTAAAAAGTAAAGACACACAGAAGTTATAATAAAGATCTATATTAAATGGACCAAACTAGAGAGGAAAGCATTTAATAAAATGTTTTACAAAAAGGAAGGTGAGTAACCAAAAAAGCCCTCTTTTTCCCAGTTCCTTGTTAATTTAAACAAGGATGGCTTCAGGTTGTAAGAAAACAACACCAAAAATCTCTCTAAAAGAGCAATATATAAAAGTAGCAAGCATGCAAAACTCATCTGCGTAGAGCTTTGCATGACCACTCTTACCTGGAATCAGAAAGTTGTAACTATTGTCACACCAGTTGTCTCTGTTGGTGGCTGGAAGAATAATTAACAGTCTGTTTAATAACAGTGCTGTTTGCAGCATATGCAAATAAAAGCCATGACAGAAACTCCCAGTAACAGATTTCCAGTGTGTGCAAGAGTTGTCATGGTAACTGCTTTTTAAAAAAAAAAAATAAAACAGAAGACATAACAAAAGGATGATTCTTTCCAAAACTTGGGGTGGTGGAGGCGCTTTATACATTGTATATGACTTCAGAGTTTATTGTTTTAGGCAAGGAATTTGCCCATTAGGAAGAGTGCAAGAACCACCACTGAGGAAGGCAACGAAGTTTCTACGAAAAGAAAATGATTGCCAAAGCAGGGAGGCACTACTTTATAATGCCCTCACACTTGCACTGTCAGAACAGTCCTGAACTGGAAACACTGATTATTGAAGTTCATTTTTTCTTGAAATGGCTAAAAAAACCTGTTGTGAGAGAAGCTGCATTTTCAGATCCCTAGGTAAAACACTTTGTGCATTTTAAGAATTTAAAAAAAAAAAAAAACAAACACACACAAAAAAAAAAAACAACAAAAAAACACCACACCACAAAAACACAACCAAACACACACACAACACAGACAAGACCTTATTGTGGCCTTCCAGTATCTTAGGTGGGCCTACAAGAAAGCTGGGGAGGAACTTTTTAGGATATCGAGTAACGACAGGACTAGGGGGAATGGGGCAAAGCTGGAAGTGGGCAGATTCAGGCTGGACATGAGGAAGAAGTTCTTCACCATGAGAGTGGTGAGACCCTGGAATGGGTTGCCCAGGGTGGTGGTTGAGGCCCCATCCCTGGGGGTCTTTAAGGCCAGGCTAGATAAGGCTCTAGACAGCCTGATCTAGTGGGAGGTGTCCCTGCTCATGGCAGAGGGGTTGGAACTGGGTGATCCTTGTGGTCCCTTCCAACCCTGACAGATTCTGATCTGTTTTAGCAGAGGACTTTAGAGCCCTAATGGCTCAATGGTTGGACTTGATGATTTTGAAGGTCCCTTTCAACCTAAAGGATTCTATGATAAAACAAAACCCTCAAAAAGCCCCAGATAAAACCAGGTATCATTTTTTTTTAAGATAAAGATGACACCATGCAGCAAAAAAACCCTCACTCTGTACTGCCACGGACAGCTGCTAGAGCAGCTAGAGCTAGTCCAGACAAGTCCCACCTTGGTGCAGATGTTGAGCCATTTTTAACTGATTGACTGTGAGGGTCCACTTCTACTGCACTGCACTACCTGCTAACAGTGACATCATCTAGTCACAGACTTAGGCCACCTAAGTACTTAAGATCTCCTGAGGCAATGTCATTTGTCATTTCAGAATCAAAGAGATAGAGAGATGGGCATGCCTCCAGAATTCAAGGGAGCTGAAGTTGACTCAGCCACATAACCAGAGGTGCTTAAACTAGGGGCAGGAAATACGTGGGGTAAATCTGATAGAGCGTGCTTGAAACATCTTGTCAGTCTGCTTTCAAAATTATGCTTCTGAATTTTCCTTTATTCTTTCAAATTAATTTACTGCATAGGCTGAAGAAAAGGCTTTTGTTACTAGCCCTAAAGAAGGCAGGAGTGAAGTATGCCCTCTCTCCAAAGTGTTTTAGTAGTATTTATTGGTGTTTCCCAGTAATTGAACTTATTACCTTGAGACTTCCAGATGTGAACATGAAAGTGTATATGAATAATGAACATGGCACAAACTCATCTGTGAAAAGTGCTGTATGCTCCAGTAACTACTTCATCCTCCTTTTTTCTTCCTGAACTTGAAATTTTAAAAAGAAAACTGTGGTTGCCCTTCAAAAATTACTCACTTATTCTTCCAGCAAGGTGTAAAAACACTGGTCCTGCGCCCTGAACTGACTCACATATTCTGGCTATCAGCAGCAGTTACTGATCTTCTCTAGGGCAACTGGTATTTTACCTGGGGAAATTAAGGCTACTATATACGAGAGTAATTACACATTTAAAACGGGCATAAAAATCAATATTATGCTAACTAAGCTAAGATTGCAGCTAAAATTGGTGTTTTGAGGTCATTATGATCCAATTGCTTCAGGTTCAATACATTTTCCTCCTCCTCATGTCACAGGACAGCCTTGGAACTGTGTATATTCCCATCTTTATTCTAGAGCACACAGTACCACTTAGTTTGGTCTACTCCAAAAAAACAAGTCAAAGATGTTAGGCTGAGGGAAACAAATTTAGGACAGGAGTTTTCACAAATGATAGTGAAGAATTAAGCAAATATTTAGCAAGTTAACAGCAGCAAAAGTAGGCCAAGAGTACTTTCACAAATCACCTGGCCGGGTGGATTTTAAAGAATCAAGAATATATGAGTATCAAATATTATTTATAGCTACTACATGCTAAACCCATAAAGAGCATTTATCTCTACTTACAATCTGTTACTAAGAGCCTTATTGTTCTACATCAGTTAAAGCTAATATAAACATATGATATGTGCAACTGGAAAATCTATTTTTTTAAAAAAAGTATCATCATGAGTTATACTCAAACCTTTAAAACTGCTTGGGTTCAAAGCAGTCTCTCAGTATCACAATTCATTTCAAGCAACTCTCAAAGCAATAAGTTTTTCCAGATGTCTCGAAAGAAGAAAGGCAGAAAATTAGAAAAAAAAAAATTGACAACTGCAGTAAAAAAAAATAAAAAAAAATAAAAAACCCCCCAACATTATGCAATTCTTTTTTGTGCCTCTGCAAGAAAAATAAAGCCTTAACAGCTGCTTCAGCAGTGAAAGAACACTGTAAAGAGATGTTGAGCAGCAAAACTGGAAGCATACATCTCTGTAACTGTAGTCAATTAAGGTTTCCTGGATAGAACAATAGGAACAACAGAAAGTCTGATGAGAGTTACGTGGACAGAGCAAGTAGAAGACCGAGCAGTCCAAATGAGTTGCAAGAAACACTGAGTGACTTTTACAGAACTGGAAAACACCCCATGCTGAAATCTTTACTCTGTAGTTAGTAAATTACATTCTCTCGTGTCTTCTCAAAGTATTGCTTTCATGGCTTTCTCTGTTATACTTAAAATTGTCAGCCTTAATTTATCCCAGTGTTTCATCTGGCTCAAAAGAGGAAAGAATTATTTATAGACTACTAATACACCACATACACCTATCGGAAATGTCTTTTCAAGGCAGGTATATTTGCCGTTCCTGAAAAACCATAAGACTCATACTATGGAAGAACAAAGCACACAAATACTGTCCTGTTACTTGCTGCTCTCTTTACAGAAGAAAACTTTCAGAAATAAACATAAAATAGTTTAAAACAACTAAGTTATTAAAACTATATTTGAAAGCAAAAGTTCAAACAGCCTAGGAACAATAAATTGTGCAATAACAGGAAGTATCTCAAAACTGCCTTCCATCAGATAGGTCCTGTCTTGAGACGTTGTCCAAATGACCACCTCTGTTGAGCAGATGCTTTCATTTGCCACAGACAGAGACTACTCTCTGAAGTAGCCCATGATGCAAAGAAGCAGTTAGTTATTTCTAGCTCACCTCCTTGAAGAGTCTATTGCCATTTCAGTGACCCAAAAGATGAAAATATAGTTTAAATAAAACTCACAAAACTCACCTAAGTATCTAATCAAGAGAGACACAGAATAGTAAAGGGAAAAAGCTTGACGAATTACAAATGTTGTACATTTAACACCAGATTATTTTTCACGTATAATGCTCATCACTTGATGAAAGAAAATCCTGTATGTTCCAAAGCAAGAACCTCCCTGGATCCCCATTCAAACAAACAAACAAAAAAAAATGGTAAAAAGAAAAAAAACCCACACACACACACACAAAAACACATCACCACACACACACACACAAAACATCCAAACCAACAACACCACCCCCCCCACCAAAAACAAAACAGGAGCAATCCAGTAGAATACATCAAGAAAGACATCAAAGAAGAACATGCTTCAATGTCAAGTCTAGTCAAAGCTAGGATCTCCTGTTTCATTAACCCTTGGGATGAATAATTCAATCCTTATGTTAGAAAAATCTTATACAAATTTAGAAATAGGTCAATTGGCATTCTAAAGTATACCTAAATATATATATATACACACGCCACGTTTCCCTCACATCCACCATAGAAACTGACTATAATACTACCTGTGATACGATTCATTTTAAATGCGCAGTGCTGACTATTTCCACCCACCAGGAGATCTGCAATAGATTACACTTGGATTTAGATACTCAGCAAGTTTTTATACAAGATAAATGTTAAAAATCTCGGTG